TAAATTTGTTAGTCTCTAAGGTGCCACAAGTACTCCTGTTCTTTTTGCGGATACAGACTAACACGGCTGCTACTCTGAAACCTGTCATTTAATCATAATGGTTCTTTAAAACTAGCTGATGCTTTATGAAACATGGGCTATATCAGAATAATAATGTATCTCTTAAGTCTCATGTAATAGCTTGGCATTAAAAAAAAATTCTTATTTAAACATCATGACAACAAAAACCATTAAAAGCTCCTCTGATACTGCTAGAAGCTATACTTAGCATATGATAATAGTATATCAAGAGGGAACTGAGTCCATTAAAGGGAGTTACACTACTCCTCTCAAGGACAAACCATTGCTAGACTCTGCACTTTCATGGAAAACATTTGGCAGAATATATTTTGCATACACCATTGTATAAAGCAGGAGTCAAATTCTGAAATCTTTATGTAGGAAAACTCCCAGTGGGGATGTCAGGACTTGGCCCTACCTTTGTTTAATTAATTTCAGAATTGCATCACATTGTTGACTCATATTCAATTTGTGATCTACTATAAACCCCCCATCCCTTTCAGCAGTACTGCTGCCTTAGCCAGTTATTCCCCATTTTGTAAATTTACATTTGATTTTTTCCTTCTTAAGTGTAGTACTTTGTAATTGCCTTTATTGAACTTCATCTTGTTGAATTCAGATAAGTTCTCCAATTTGTCAAGCTCATTTTGAATTCTAATGCTGTCCTCCAAAGTGCTAGCAACCACTCTCAGCTTGGCCTCATCTGCAAATTTATAAGTGGACTCTCCACTCCATTACCATTATCTAAGTCATTAATGAAAATATAGACATGTATCCGACCAAGGACTGACCTCTGTGGGACCTCACTAGATATGTCCGCAAACCACTGATAACTCTTTGAGTATGGTTTTCTAATCAGTTTTGCACCCACCTTAAAGTTATTTCATCTAGAACATTTCTCTAGTTTGTGTATGAAAATGTCCCATGGGACTGCATCAAAAGCCTTACTAAAAATCAAGATATATCATGGCTACAGCTTCCCTCCCCATTATCCGCTAAGTACTTACAAATTGATTGTTTAATAATTAGTTCTAGTATCTTTTCAGGTATCAAAGTTAGGCTTTGATTCTCCAGGTCC